TTCTTCCAAGGGATGAGAGATGTGCCCAGTCTAAGCTCCGCGACCGCCACTGCAGTACCCTCTGCATCCATGCATAGTCAAGTTCGGATTTGTCAACAATATAAGGCCCCGTTTGGGAGAGCTTCGCTCCCTGATTCTTCAACTCTGCTTCTTGATTCTCCGATGGAGTGATTCCATTGGATTCCTAGGAGGGAGCAGGGTGGGGAGTTGATAAGAATTGATTCTCTGCTGATGCCCACCTAAATCACTTAGCATTTTGAGCGTTTGGCTGGTTGGGAGCGATTCTCTTCGGAGAAGCTGAAGTTGGAGCTCTCCCAAACGGGCCCTAAAAAAAGGTTCACAGGAAGAAGGCTGAACTATTCACCCTAGTCTCTGTCCTGAGAATCATCGGACTCAGAAACCTATACACACTCACTAAGGGCCTCTCCTTACTTATCTACACTTTTCTTTTTCCGGTTTCTTGATAAAACTATACTACTTGAGAAAACAAATCATAGAAACTACACTATATGAGTTTATGTCCCGCGTTTCAATGAGACTCCCTGGCAGTACGGTGCTGAATTCTCTGGCTTTTCTAGCATGCTTTGTACATAGGTTCATACTATCTTTCTAAACCCATGTGCTCCTACAGATACTTATGCCACTAGCTAAGTTGTAATAAAAAAATGACCGATAACTGATGATCAATCCCACAAATTTTTTTTGCTATGCCCATCGACGTGCGCGGGGGCGCGCGCCTTATACTAGTACATCCCTATATTCCCGAAAGGTGACTTTCATATATTTTCATATGTCCATTTTTAGGCATTTTAGATGCCTTCCTTTTTCTTTGAGAATAGATGATATATGCTTAGATGTTTGGTATGATACTATGGTATGGTGAATTGGAGCTAGATACCTGTACAATTCGGCATTTTCTTTTGAGAAAGTCTTTATGTTCTTTGGAGCACTCTTTCCCTTTTCTTTGGAGCACATGATATGATCTTGGCACCTACCAAGACCTGATCTTCAGATTCTTTTTTTCCATCAATGCATGTATCCTATTTATTTAGTCAACTTGTTGTAATTCGGTATTGATTTTTTTTTCATTTTGGAATATGTAACAGTAGTCAAACATATCAGCACACACCAAGACACTCAAAGTGGCGTTACTCATTTTGAGAAATTTCAAATCTTACTACGTGAAAAAAATTCAAACAAATCCATATATTTTATTATATTATTATAATATCATTATAGTAGTACATAAAATAAATATAACCACATACTCTGCATATACTTACATACTTAGCATAATACTACCTCAGGTGATCTTGTATGATCATATACTCCGTATGCGTACACTTTATTGGATCTTATGCACTCTAAATCTTGAGATACACATGCATGTATGAGAATAGCTACTTGTTGATTCTCCTGTAGTCAAGGCCAGGTGCCCGGACCTGGAGCATTCCTTCTCCTTTGTCCTCGATGAGGAAGGGCATGTACGTCCCAAAAATCCTGTCCCACACCACGCAGTTGGTGGTGCACGTCATGGTACGCCGCGCTGTTCCAGAAGCTCAGGCGATCCCAGTTGGGCAGCAGAGACAGGCCGCTGTGGTTGTCAATGACCTTAACGGTGCAGAGCGAGAAGAAGAAGATGGAAGCCCTCGGCGACATGCCGGACACCAGGAAGGCGACCGTGCCACCGATGGTGTCAGCGACAAAGCCCTCGACGGAGTGTCCGTACAAGGCTCCGAAGGAGTAGGGCACCACGAGACGGTGGTGCCACGAGTGGAGGTTCCGATAGAGGAACCTGCTGGTGTGCATGATCCGGTGGCATGCATACTGCCACATGTCAAACCAGACCATGGCCACCGCGATTTGGCAGGCTAACTTCAGATAGGAGGTCTTCGTACTGATGGCGCTCTCTTCTTTGACCTGTTGTATCCCAATTAAATTCAACAAAAATAGCTTGCTCATTATCATTGTCACAAGCACCGCATAATAAACTATACGTCCCGTTGCAACATATTATATGTAGCAAGGAACCATGCCAAAAAGAGCCATATAATCAAGCATGCTGGCCCGCGCAATGCAATAATAAATTAATAATGATCTTAAGCATGCATATATACTACGCACGCACCTTGAACATCATCACCATGGCCACCATGGCAACCTGCACGAGCTGCTGCTTGAGGACGTTGCTGATAACCTGTCGCTTCGACACACGGTTCTTGCTGTCTTCATGGCTGCTTGGGTGCAGCCTGTATTTGTCCATGTACATGGACTGGCCAAGCGTTGCATGCAGGCCACGATACGCCCAATACACCACGATGGGCACAAGGACGGCCAAAACTTCGTCAGAGAGTAGTAGCTCCATTTGTGAGTTTATTTGCTTGCCGTGTTCGATCGATCGACGTACGTACATGTGCTATGCAGGTACTGATGATGTGTGTCGATCTTACTACCGGAACGTCTCTATATATACTCTTGCTCTCTTGACTTCTATACGCATGCCAGGGAGGACTGACAACAATTATTTGACGACGACTGGGTCCGTATATATCACTACTTTTTTTTGTATACATGCATGCGTTCCAAACTAGGTAGGTACAGGTGCGTTGTTGTTGCCTACCTGTGTCGTGATGTGGTGAGACCAGGGACTTGGCTCACTTACTTTTATGCGTACCAGGTTGGACTAACAATTTGGAGCCATGCAAAAGCTTGGTCCGTATATACATGCGTGTACACTTATTAGGCCCCCGGTTAATTTAGCAACGAAACACGTTTCTGATTCTTGCGAGACTAGAATCCCAGCCAAACAGGTCAGGTAAGAAACGTTTCCCTCGAGAATCACTAGAAACATTTCTCGTTTTTATGCCTAGTAAGGAGAAACAGTACTAGATACCCGATGGTTTCGCGTAATTCTAATTCTTGCCCTCCTTCTATATTAGCAACCATAATTTTTTAGTTAATTATTTTCAAGTGAAATAAGTTAAAAATAGGTTGTATTTAAGTTGTTCTTTGGCCACAAAAAGTTCTAAAATTTTTCAAAGAATATTTTTATTTTATTATGATCTTTTTATGGTTCCGATTCGCTACCAGCCAATCAGTTTCACGAAATGATTCCGATTCGTTACCAAAAACATTTCTTGAGAGACTCTGGATCCGAAACGTTTCTACGAGAATCTGGATCCCTATCAAACACATGTTTAAGAAGATCCGTGTAGACTATAACTTACCTTGACAATGCATCCGTTTGGATACACATGACTAGTTACTAGTTGGGTTAAGGTTGGCTAGCTAGCTGGCAAACAACTAGTTGAAAACTTGACTAAAAAGTTGCTTATTTATTAGCCCTCCTGTTTAGATGCACTAGAGCTAATTTAAACTAAAATTAGCTAGCTAATAATTAGCTCGTGGTATCCAAACATATCCTTTTTCGATCACAACTAAAGGTGACAGCAGGTCGGCTAATATACGGGTTGAGTAAATACTATTCACAAATTGTTTTTAATAGGTCAAATTTCATACTGTTCTGTATCGACGGGTAAAATTTTACATCTGTATTCACGGGTAACATTACGCTTGTATCCTTATCTATCGGGTATGATACCTGTAGGTTATCTACATTTAGATTGTCACTAGAATAAATAAAATCTTTTGTGTTTTTTTTTATCGGCCGGTATTATTGTATACATACTATATCTATGGGTAAATTTTTTTGTATCCGTTTTTCCTATACCGATCGGGTGCAATACCCACAGATACAATTGCCGTCCCTGGTTACAATGTACATTTTGGTTGCAGCTAGCGTGCATATACGACGAAGGAAAGCTGGTCCGTGAATCTTGTGTGGCATGTAGTAGACGTTCGGTCTTGGCATACGTGACCGGTGACCTGCTGGGAGCTTAGCTTAGGGCGCGTTTAGATGCAAAATTTTTTAAGTTTTGGTTACTATAGCACTTTCATTTGTATTTGACAATTAGTGTCTAATTATAGACTAATTAGGTTTGAAAGTTTCGTCTCGCGATTTCTCATCTAACTATACAATTAGTTTTTTTTCGTCTACATTTAGTACTCTATATATGTGCCGCAAGATTCGATGTGATAGGTACTGTGCAAAATTTTTTAAAAACTAAACATGCCCTTATTCTGCTAGCTACGACTGTGAAGTTGTCAAGTCATGGCCATTTTCACAGCGGGACAGGTGAAACATTTTCGGCCGGGCCAACCCATTTTGACGAGACGAAGTCAATTATGTACGATCACATTTCCGGATGTGATAGTAGTTTATTTACATACCATCTCCTGTCCTATTCCTAGGCCTTGTTTAGATTGGAGTTAGAAATCAGTATTTGGCATTGTAGCACTTTCATTTGTATTTGACAATTATTGTCTAATCATGCTCTAACTAGGCTAAAAAGATTCGTCTCGTAATTTACAATCAAACTGTATAATTAGTTATTTTTTTTATCTACATTTAATACTCCATACATGTATCAAAGATTTAATGTGATGAAGAAAGAGTGAAAAAACTTACAATCTAAACAAGGCCCTAGAAGAAGACGAAATATAGAAAGCCTGCCAAAGGGAATCTTAATGAATGGCTGCTAAGGCAACCTGCTTAATGATCGAATGGCTGCTAAGGCAGCAGGTGCACAGTTAGCGCCCTACGTCTTCCTAACTCATTGCCCAGCGTCGGCGACTGGGGTTGACGGGGACTCGCCGGGGGAGTCCGCCTTCCCCACGTCAGAGGGAGTCCTTCCTCTCTCCTATTAGAGCATCTCCAAAAGTTTCCTAATTTTTTCTCTTAAAAATTTATAGTTTAGCAACTCCTAAAAATATATTAGAAGGAGAAAAGATAGTCATCTCCAAGAGTTTCTAATAAATGTCATCTAAAAAATTAAATTTGAGGCCCACATCATCTCCACGCTGGTTCATGGCCGCTATCGGCTCAGAGGTGGGCACGAAGCGGGTCTCCATGCCGGTGTTGGCGAGGAAGCATCTCCGCCATGAAGGCCGCCGCGCGGCTCATGGAGAAGATCGTGCCAGGCGCGTCCGCCATGAAGGCCAAGTCCAGCAGCAAGAAGGACCAGTACCTGCTCAAGCGCCGGGACGCACCCGAGGCCTCCTCCTCCACCGCCCACCGCCAGCCGCAGCTCCTGGACGCGCTGCCGCCCGTGCTTGCGCCCGCGCTGGATGACGGCCCACCTAGATTCCCGGCCAGCGGCGACCCACCCACGCCGCCGCTGCCTGGGATCTCCATCGTGGATGAGGACTTCATGCTGCTGCAGAGGCGCACCCCGCTCGTCGAGGTCCCTTCTCCCGCCGCCCACCAGGCCCAGCCGACCGAGGGGCCCGCCGGAGTCGCAAGCGCGAGCGGGAGGAAGGTGCCGATGTCGATGCTAGCCCTGACGCCGTAGACGCCGCCGGCGAGCCCAAGAAGAGGAAGAAAAAGAAGAATCTTTCTGACCTGGACGGCTCTGGTGCTGGCAAGGCCGTCGTGGTTCAGGACCCCAAAGGGCTTGACCTGACGCAGGTACTATCAGACATCCGGAACCTCCCGCTGGTTCCCTTCCATGGCGACACGAGATGGCGCGAAGCAAGAAGCCACGCCAAAATGATGGCGGCAAGAGAGAAATCGCGTGAGGGGACGGATACGCGCGACGGGAGCAGCGCGTAAAGTTACACGGAAGGGGGAGGAGTTTCACAAGTCCTAAAAGATTATGAGTAAATATTAGGAGTTGTTGGAGATGGTTTTTTCCCCATCTTTCTAAAAAACAAGGATTAGGAGGATGTTTAGGGAACTCTTGGAGATGCTCTTAGGCCCCTAGATACTGGGGTCTTCTTTGGTCGTCTGTTTGATGATTTTTGCTATGGTTTTCTCGCTCTGTTCGTTTGAACTTATCAGCCTGGCTTATCAGCCATGCTACAATATTTTTCCCTCACAATAAATCAGCTTCAGCCAGTTTATCAGCCCCAAAACCATCAGTCGAACAACTTCTGGTCATTGCAGACTCATCTAGGGTTTTGAGGTCAAGGGGGGTGATCAGGGGATCCCTAGCGATCTTTCTCACCTGAAGTTGTTTGTGCCGTCGATCTCACAATCCTATCTGTGGCGATGGAGATTACAGAGGGTTCGTCTCTCAACTTGATGGGTCCTCACGGCGAGGCCCATCAGGAGCAATGAATCTTTTAAGATATAACTACCGAGGGCTGGGAGTCTCGGGACTCTCTCGGACAGTTCAAGAGTAGGAGCAAAAAGTCCCCGCTTGGTATTCTTATGTGAAACAAGAATGTCAGGCGATCGTGCTATGAAATTGAGGTGGAGATTGGGGCTCAAACATGTTGTCGTTGATAGTACTAATACAGGTGGTGGTTTTGGCTTTATTTTGGCATGAGTCGGTTGATGTTCACTTGATTGAAAAACATAGACGTTTCATTGATGTGCATGTTTGTGAATCGGGTACTTTGCCTCTTTCGAATCACCTTTGTTTATGGTGAACCTAGGACTGAAGATAGACACCTTATGTGGGAATTGATGAGAATGTTGCGTGGGGCGTCAATTGAGCCGTGGCTGCTGATTGGTGATTTTAATGAAGCTATGTGGAGCTATGAACATTTTTTAGCTTATCAGCATCTGGAAAGACAGATGGCTACATTCCGGGATGTGCTCGCTGATTGTGGACTGACAGGCCTTGGCTTCGTGGGCTTGCCTTTCACGTATGATAATGGCAGGGACGGCAACACCAATGTAAAGGTTCGATTGGATAGGGCGGTGGACGATTCAAATTGGCGAGACATGTTCAGTGTGGCTACTCTGCACCATCTAGTTTCATGATAAGTTCCATTGTAAGCAACATTTCAGTGGACTTTGGCATTTTAAAAAAAATGTTCAACTAAAGAACCCTAAGCCTATAGCTACACATGCATGCTAAAATTCTAACATACATTTCACAGATAAAATACCAAACCAACCATACACCCCTAGTTTAGGGTTCTAACCCTATCACACCAATATAATCAAATTTGGCCGAATGAAATGCAAGAGAAGAGGCAGGATTACCACGAGAAAGTGATACCACGTGAGATCAGGGCTCCTTAGGGTTAGATTTGGAAGCTACAGTTCATGGGGAGTGAATGGGAGCGAAGCTACGGTTCATGTGGAGTGAATGGGAGAGAAAGAAGAGGTGGCATACCGCAAGAGAGGAGGAGAAAGAAGGGGCTAACATGTTTTAGGTGCCTAGACTTCGATGTGAGCTGACTAAACACCAAGGCATGAGGGTCAGCGCTAAATGACCTCACCGAGGCTTGGTGAGGCCATGCCATGTTGGCACTAATGTGGTAGGCTTCGGTGCAACTTGACATAACACTGATGCGAAGACCTTGACATTGTGTTATTTAACGCTGGGCTTTGAAAAGTTTCTAGAAGGATATAGTTGTTAATATAGTTTTTAGAAAGGGCTAAAATGCAAAATTGAACACCGTGTGACAACAACCGTCGCTGTTGGGGGCCCGATCCAATGGGTGGTCGAAAGCCTATGTAAGAAGGTTAGGGCAAATACTCCCGCTCGGCCCATTTATGGACCAAAAGCCCAATGACCAATGCCGCGTGCGTCAGCCGCTATAAAGTGCTAGGGTTTTACACCTCTCCGCCCCCACGCCGCCACTTCTCCCAACCCGACCATGCCGCGCCTTCGCCTCCGCCTCGAACCCTAGCCGAGCGGAGCAAGGAAGGAAATGGTACGTGTGCGCCGCTGCTGCCGTCGCGGCCACCCCCTACGCCTACGTCCGTCCGTCCGCTAACGTGGTGTTGCTGCTGTGGCTCACAGGGGAAGGGTACGGGCAGCTTCGGCAAGCACCGGAACAAGACGCACACGCTCTGCATCTGCTGCGGCCGCCGCAGCTTCCACCACCAGAAGAGCACCTGCTCCTCCTGTGGCTACCCCGCCGCCCGCATCCGCAAGTGTAAGATCCGCCTCCTTGCTTCCTCTCTTCTTCCATTTCCCCCGCTTCTAGATCTAGCCAGTTTTGTCCTGTGATTTTGCTCTGTGTTGCCATGTATCTAGATGGCCAAACAGTGTGATTTGGTATGTTTTATTATGATCTTAAAAACTGCATGAGCTTTTAAAAGTTGTCACGTATGTAGTAGGGTTCGTGCTTGTAACTTTCTGTTCATTATTATGCTACTGGCTTATGTGCTTTCTACTTAATGTGCTGTTGAATTCGTTTCTGCGGGAAATGATGAATAAAACATTGGTCCGTGTTTCTGATTATACTTGATTGACAACAATGTTTTACCAAACTGATCCCATTGTGCTAATTTCTGATTTTGTGGTACTTTATAACAGTTGATTCGTATGAACCATATTATATCGTGATGATGTTCACTCCTTGTATGTTTGGGCATTACCCTCATTTACAAACCTCATTGTATGTACTTCTTTTCTATTTACCCACTGATATTGTTTACAAACTACTACTGAATGAAAGCTATGATGCAGCAATAACAACAGCAGCAACAACAAAGCCTTTAAGTCCCAAACAAGTTGGGGTAGGCTAGAGTTGAAACACAGTAGAAGCAATCAAGGTTCAGGCATGTGAATAGCTATTTTTCAAGCACTCCTATCTAAAGCTAAGTCTTTGGGTATATTCCATCCTTTCAAGTCTCCTTTTATTGCCTCTACCCAAGTCAACTTCGGTCTTCCTCTGCCTCTCTTTACGTTACTATCCTGGCTTAGGATTCCACTACGCACCGGTGCCTCTGGAGGTCTCCGTTGGATATGTCCAAACCATCTCAACCGGTGTTGGACAAGCTTTTCTTCAATTGGTGCTACTCCTAATCTATCACTTATATCATCGTTCCGAACTCGATCCCTTCTTGTATGACTACAAATCCAACGCAACATACGTATTTCCGCGACACTTATCTGTTGAACATGTCTTTTCATAGGCCAATATTCTCCACCATACAACATAGCAGGTCTAATCGTCGTCCTATAAAACTTGCCTTTTAACTTCTATGGTACCCTTTTGTCACATAGAACACCAGATGATTGGCGCCACTTCATCCACCTTGCTTTGATTCTATGGCTAACATCTTCATCAATATCCCCATCTCTCTGTAGCATTGATCCTAAATATTGAAAGGTATCCTTCCTAAGCACTACTTGACCTTCCAAACTAATATCTTCCTCCTCCCGAGTAGTAGTGCTGAAGTCACATCTCATATACTCAGTTTTAGTTCTACTGAGTCTAAAACATTTGGACTCCAAAGTCTCCCGCCATAACTCTAGTTTCTGATTCACTCCTGTCCGACTTTCATCAACTAGCAATACATCGTCCGCGAAAAGCATACACCAAGGGATGTCCCCTTGTATATCCCTTGTGACCTCATCCATCACTAAGGCAAACAGATAAGGGCTCAAAGCTGACCCTCGATGTAGTCCTATCCTAATGGAAAGTCATTCGTGTCTCCATCACTTGTTCGAACACTAGTCACAACATTGTTGTACATGTCCTTAATGAGCCTGACGTACTTCGTTGAGACTTTATGTTTGTCCAAAGCCCACCACATAACATTCCTTGGTATTTTATCATAAGCCTCCTCCAAGTAAAAAAAACCATGTGTAGGTCCTTCTTCTTCTCCCTATACCGCTCCATAACTTGTCTTATTAAGAAAATGGCTTCCATGGTTGACCTTCCGGGCATGAAACCAAATTGGTTCATAGAGACCCACGTTATTGCTCTCAAGCGATGCTCGATAACTCTCTCCCATAGCTTCATAGTATGGCTCATCAACTTAATTCCCTGGTAATTAGTACAACTTTGAATATCCCCTTTATTTTTGTAGATCGGTATCAATATACTTCCCCTCCACTCATCAGGCATCTTGTTCGATAAAAAAATATGGTTGAACAGCTTGGTTAGCCATACTATAGCTATGTCCCCGAGGCATCTCCACACCTCGATTGGGATACCATCCGGTCCCATCGCCTTACATCTTTTTCAACGCCTCTCTAACATCAGATTCTTGGATTCTCCGCACAAAGCGTCTATTGGTGTCATCAAAAGAGTCATCCAACTGAAAGGTTGTGTCCATATTCTCACCATTGAACAATTTGTCAAAATACTCTTGTTATTGATGTCGGATCTCATCCTCCTTCACCAAGAGATGCTCCCATTCATCCTTAATGCACTTAACTTGGTTGAAGTCCCTTCTCTTTCTCTCACAAACCCTAGCCATTCTATAAATGTCCTTCTCTTCTTCCTTCGTACTCAAATGTTGGTAAAGATCCTCATATGCTCTGCCCTTTGCCACACTTGCAACTCACTTTGCAGTCTTCTTTGCCACCTTGTATTTCTCTATGTTGTCCACACTCCTGTCATGGTATAAACGTCTATAGTATTTTTTTCTTCTCCTTAATAGCCCTTTGGACTTTCTCGTTCCACCACTAAGTATCTTTAGTCTTGCCTCCACTTCCTTTGGTTACTCCACACACCTCTAAGGCCACCTTTTAAATGTTGGTTGCCATCTTTTCCCACATGTTGTTTATGTCCTCTTTTTTCTTTCAAGAGCCCTCTTTGATAACCCTTTCCCTAAATACATCTGACGTCTCTCTTTTCAGTTTTTACCACTTTGTTCTTTCAATCTTAGCTTGTTTATCCCTACGGGCACGCACCTAAAAACGAAAGTCTGCCACCAAAAGCTTATGTTGAGAAACAACACACTTCCCTGGTATCACCTTGCAACCCAAGCATACTCATTTGTCCTTCTTGCAAGGTCAAAGTCAATCTGGCTAGAGTGTTGTCCGTTACTAAATGTCACTAAATGAGATTCTCTCTTTCTGAAGAAAGTGTTGGCTATCATTAGGTCAAAAGCTATCGTGAAGTCCAGAACTTTCTTTCCTCCTGATTCCTAATACCATACTCAAAACCTCCATGAACTGCCTCGAAACCTACGCTTATAGTACCTACATGCCCATTAAGATCTCTTCCTATAAAAAGCTTCTCACTACTAGGTACAACTCTAATAAGGCCATCTAAGTCTTTCCAGAACTGTCTCTTAGCACTCTCGTTGAGGCCTACTTGGGGGGCATACACACTAATTACGTTCAAGACCATATCACCAATGACAAGCTTGACTAAGATAATCCTATCTCCTTGCCTTCTCACTCCCACCACACCATTCTTTAGACTCTTATCAATCAAAACTTCTACTCTATTTCTATTCGCGACTGTCCCTGTGTACCAAAGCTTGAAACCTGTATTGTCCACCTCCTTCGCCTTCTGACCCTCCATTTAGTCACTTGAACGCATAATATATTTACACGTCTCCTAGTCGTGGTATCAACTAATTCTCTTAACCTACCTGTAAGCGACCCTACATTCCAACTGCCTAAACACATCCTAGTTGGTTCGACTAGCTTCCTTACCCTTCGCACCCGTCGACTCAGATGTGAAGACCCTTGCTCATTTTTCACTACACCCGGGCGCCGATGTAGCGCGCCACTAAGGAAGCGACGACCCGATCCTTGCTCACTTGACACCATGCCCAGATCGCGACACAGCGCATCACCAAGGGGGTGCCGACTCGGCCCTTGCTCATTTAACACCGTACCCGGGTTCCGATATGTCGCGTCGCTAAGAGGGTTACGCCCCAACGGTTTTCTTTCGGGTTTTATCTCCATTAGAATGGCTAGATTTAACGTTGGCTCGCCACGCCTATCACAATCCTCCTCCTTTACCAGGGCTTGGGACCTGCTATGTTGAGACAACATAGGCGGAGTTAATGAAAGCTATGATGAATCATGAAAATTATATTTGTATGTCAGACTTTAGAGATGCCTTGGCATTAACGAGAAGATGTTTCATGTTCTGAGCGTCAGCCTACTAACTTCTGTTTTTGATGGCTCAGTGGTTTCTTGTATTCAACACAAATGTTTCTGCATGTTTCCTCTGTTAAGCCTTTTGGAACGTTTTCTATCATAATGCTGCATCTTGTGCCATTGGTTGAGTTTGTACTACATTTGAACACTTTTGGTGCCTGCTTCCACTGCCGATGATCAAGCAATGAGCAATTAACTGCTCCAACGTCATGATTGGAGTTATTCTCCTATGATTCATAAGTTTTAAGTCTCTGGTGGTCCTGTCTTTTTCCTTTATCCTTGTGCATCAGATTCCGAGCGCCAGCACACTAAACAATGAGTGTCACTGTTTCTCTTTGAAAATCTTGACATTTAGGTTGCTATATTTCTTACTGAGATACTTAGCTTGGTTCTTGCCTATTTCCATGGTCAGATGAAGAGTATTAAACTGCAACAATATGATGGGATTATTCCCCTGTGATTCCCTCGTTTTAAGTCTCTGATGACCCTGCACATTTTTTTTAATTTTGTTTGCATTCTGGCTGCTTCTCATGACTTTGCCTTCTGAGTGCCTTAACATATTTCTGTTTCATTTGTCTGTCTCAAGGGTTTAGGTCTATGATGATAGCCTGATTTGTAAGCATTGGTTGGAAATCCTGTAAATTGTAAACCTAGTTTTAGTATTATATAAGCCATGTTCGATTCAACTTCATATGCCTTGCTTCTAACCTGAATGCACTCAATGTTAGCGGTGAAAGAGAGCTGCTGCGTCTTCCTAGTTACCAAGCTGATAAGTGGGCTATTGAGTTCTTTTGTGGCATCTATTATTTTTAGAAATTTGAAAGCACACGCCAATTTTTTAAGCATTGTCCCAATCTTCAGTAACGATGGTATCCGTAAAAGATGAGAGGTAAATCTTTTGTCACGAACTCACGATCGCTTCCATGATAAACATTGACAGTAATTTGTTTAAGACGATTTTATCCGGAAACGGTGAAAGGTAAATCTTTTGTCGCTAGCACTTCCGTGATGAACATAGCCACTTGACAGCAAGTTCGTTAAAAAAAAACGTTGACAGTAAGAGAAACACGTTGTACTGCTGTTCGTTCAGCTGCATCAGGTAACAATGTCAGTGTAAGTGCAACTGGAAACATGATGCTGATCTGATCATAGTAAATATGGGTCTTCTTGTTGCAGGCGATCACAATAAGATGGTGACTACATAATGCTGATCATAGTACTGAAAACATAATGTTCTTTGGGGGCCTATAATATCTTTGGTAATTTGAAAGCACACTCTAATTTGCTAGAAGTATTATACGAATCTTTTGTAAATGATTGCATTCGAAAACGATGAAAGGTAAATCTTTTGCCACGATCACTTCCATGATAAACATTGGCAGTAAATTTCCTTTAAAAAACATCGACATCAAGTTGTTTAAGATGATTGTATTTGGAAAGGATGGAAGGTAAATCTTTTGTCAAAGACCAATGCATAGTATCTGGAAGGGATGATAAACATCGACAGTAAGTTGGTTGAGAAAACATTGACAGTAAGGAACACATGTTGTATTGCTGTTCCTTTAGTTGCATGAGCAAACAATGCTCAGTGTAAGTGCAACTGGAAACATAATGTTGATCATAGTAAAGATGGCCTTTTTATCGTAGGCGATCACAATCACAATAAGATGGGTGAATGAAACATGTTAAAATAAAAAACATAAGGAAAGGGGTAAAATTTAGCCATCTTTGGCCTTAACACTCATTCAATCCTTGGCCATGCAACATTGTTGTACGCCAGTTCACGCGTTGGGTCGATCAGTGGCCGCCCGCCGCCGTGGCCTTGACGGCCGCCGCCGCGCCCTGGGCCGTCTGCGCCACCTGCTCGGCAACCTTGGCACGCGCACGAACGGACGCAGTTAGCAAGCACGGTCACGTAGCTACTCGGCGGCGAGGAGAGAGATACCAGACATTCGTACCTGCTGAACGGCGCCGGCGGCGCGGTGCTGCTGCAGCTGCGCGCTGTCGGCCGCGGCTCCGGCGGTGTCGCCCACGGCGCAGGCGGTGGCGCCAGCGGCGCCCTTGACGCACTGCGCCGCGCGCTGCATAGTACACCGGGGTGAAGTGAATTCCATTGCTAGATCATATGAATGTAATGTGATGTGATGTGATCTGCTTGGATTGGAAGGAGGATGCCGGAGCTGCTCACCTCGCCCTCGGCCTGCGCCTTGCCGGCCTGGAAGGATTGCTCAGTGTTCGACATTGACGATAATCTCTGCTTGTAACTTCTCAAGATCACTTCAGGAGCGAACGACGATGTTGTTTGATGGACAATCAGGCGCTCTGACTGGTTTATATAGACAATCTTGGAGATGCTGCAGCATTGACAAGTGTCGGCGGGCTGATTTTGAGTGGCGAGAGAGAGGGAAGCGGTAGGTGTGCTTGTGAATCCTGACCACAAATGGCCATGGCTAATTACTGCTAGTTGAGTTCAAACCATGTTTAGAGCATCCACAAATAGGCAGGCACAGAAAATAGAGAATTTGGAGAGAGTTTCAGACTTTCAGCATCCATTCATCACACAAGTGGAAAACTTCCTTTTCTTTTTTTATACTTCCTCCGTTTATCCAAAAAGAATATAATTTTAGGTTTCATTTTTTCTAAATTTAATTAATTAAGTTTATAGGAAATAATAATATCACCCTAATTAGATTTGCTATGAAAATATATTCCATAATTGATGTAATGCTACTTATTTAGTATCATAATTGTTGGCATTTTTTATAGATAAATTTGGTCAAAATTAACTATTTTGACTCATCGGTAAATGAGAATTGTACTATATTTTTTTGAGGGACGGAGGGAGTACATGAACAAAAATTCCATACATGAACAAATCGTCATCAGGTACTAGTTGCTACAAAATATTAGTGAGAACTAGCTAACAACTCTTCATGCCACGTAGAGAGAGAAAAAACTAACAAAACTTGATATTTTGCTGACATATTTCAAGTTTTAGCTTCAGTTCAGAACAGACGGTAAAAGCATTCAGCATGTTCGCTTGTTGGTTTCAGCCAGCCTAAACTAGCCAGCCAACAACATTTTCCTCTCAAAAAAAACCAGCACCAGCCAGCCCAAACCAGCCCAGAAACCAACCAGCGAACAGGCCGATTGCGTTTCTTCATTCTCTTTGGGGGTGCTTGTATAATTAAAGAAATTTCAAAGCTTATTCAGCTGCTTACATTAATCTACAGAATCTATGAGCTAGTTAATCTTCACAGCAAACATTTGGCTACAGGCTCAAAACCCTGGTTGTGTCTTGTGCTAAATTCCTTAGAAGAAACCGGAAAAATATTTAGACCTATCTATCTCAAGGTATTACCATGTAAAGGAGGACAAAGGACCCAAACTAGTCGCCACTACCTTTATTAATAAATAAAATAAAATACTATGTAGGTAAGGCGATATCGAGAGTTTGGACAAACTTATACATACCTAAAAAGATAGAGATATAGAAAAAAAATACCAAAAAGATGCATTAAGGAAAATAAGGCCACAATTAGATTAACCACATCATATATTTTCATTGTATATAAATCTATTTGGACATATAAATGCTAATTTTATTTCCTTTAAATCTAATAGTTAAATTTGAGATTAGTTGAACCTTTAAAATCCGAAATGGAGACTTATTTTAGAACATAGTGAGTATATAACAAATTCGATGTAAAAAAAAATCAAAACGAGAGAGTATTAAATAAATTATTATTAAATATATAAAAAAGGAAAAAAGAAGAAGGGAGCAAGAGCCGGTGCTGGAGCCTGAGGTGAGGAGGTCGGCCCGCAGGACATCTCGCGCGAGGGCTTCAATCCAAGTTCGTGCCACCAGGGACCAGGCCAGCAGTTCGAGGAGCTCCGAGCTCGGCCCGCGCAGGAGGTCGTCCCGCCCGCGCCTCCTCCGGCCTGTCACTCGGATCCCACCGCCTGCTCCGAGCTCGTAGGCAGCTCCACCGAATCCGGCGCCAGCCGCCAGGTACGCTCGCCCGCGCCGCCTGCGGTTCCCCTGGCCACGTGGAGGGCGCACGTGGTGCGCCGGGTTCCCCCTTATTGGCGACTGCTCTCCCCCTCGGCCCGATTTCGATTCGCGCCTCCGCCCGCCGCGCGAGGTAGGGTAGGGTCCCGAACCGTCCCGCCCTGCCGTGTTTTTCCCCCGGGGAGAGGTGGTTGCGCTCGCTCGGCACGCCGAGCGGCTCTGGAAGAGCACGGGCGTGGGGAATTGGGTTTCGGCTAATTCCTTGAATGCTGCTTCTTTCTCTTCTCTATTCGCTTCGAATGATTCCTGGAACGCCTCCATTCTTGCGGCGTGCATTCCCGCAAGGGTGGATTGCCCACCACGTGCTCTCGTCGTAGCACTAATTCTTTGAATGCCTGCCTGCCATTTTTTTATTTGCTTCTGATGGTTTGGGACATCTTCGACGCTTTCGTTTTCCACATACAAATGTCTGATGAGTACACCATACCCCAACACGCTTTCTTTCTTTCTGCTGTCAGGTGAAGTAGCGGGCGGGCGTTGAATGACCTTCTCTATGGATTTGAACGCATCGCCGTTGCCCGACGATGATGAGCATCAGCCTTATGATGATGAGCAGGTTGAGGTTGAGTATCCTCACAAGGAACCTGTTGTTGAGTCTGCTGTCGCAACAATGCGCCGGGTACGTACGCAACTATGTTTAATGGTGCTGATGATGTTCATCCCATGTACCGTGCCCTTGACATATTGTTATTGGATCTTACTAATGATTGCCGATCAGTACCCGTGTGTACCTTTGCTTGGTTGACATTATTAGCAGAAGAAAATGGCTTCCACAAAGGAAGGGAACCTGTTAATTATTATGTGCACAGCACAGTAGTCTTCATCAATACACTTAAACTTGTCTGTGCATCACGAGCATATATAGTGGATCTGTGGATTATGCATTGGATTTGTTGTAGAAAGATGATTTTGATGTTCAATATGTTTTTCTTGTTTGGTGAGTGATTTACTTTGACTGCCTTTATTTTGCATACATGCTGGTATGCATGCATTGTTTATGTATGTGCCAGAAAGGCCTTGTGGCTCTTTAAACCGTTCATTTTAGTTTCCTTTTCGTATTGAGCCTGCAAGCTTGGTTTATTGATGTTAACCATACCTTCTATGTGATCTTGCTATTCTTGACAGGAGCGTGAAGAGAGACGCAAGAGACTAAAGAGAGAGCAGCAGGATGATGGTTCAAGGCTACATTCCCAGCAGATTAGGAATGATTATGTTCCTCAACCCAAAGGACATAGTCGCATTAAAGAGACACCTCAGGGTACCAAGTATTGGGCAATTTTAACTGATACATTTCACCTTCTGTCCCCCCCTGCTTATTCGTTATTCTTTTTTTTCCACTGTCATTTTTCCCATGTAGATTTTATATATGTAATGTAATGTATCTTGGTGCGATTTCAGGCTGGTTGGACTGTCCTGCATTTGGGGAGCCAATAGATAAAATCATACCATCCAAAGTTCCTCTTGATGAAACATTCAATGAGTCGGTGCCTCCCAGGAAGCGATACTCCTCGAAGCAACTAGTTAACAAACAAAGAAAAGCTGGTCGTGTAGTAAGTATTGCTTGCTTGTTCCTGCGGATCACACTGTAGTCCCTCCTATTATTATACTAATCGTTATGTGAAGGTAGTAACATTTGTTGTATACAGAAATTTGGTTCATTGAAATCAGGCTGCCCCTAGGAATGAGTTTCTTTTCTTGTGTATAACCCTAATGTTCTAAAAAGTAGGTGCTAGGTGGCATGTATTTCCTGATGAGCACTTGGTGGGCTAGATGGTGATATATGCTAGATAGGAGGGCGGTTCTTAGTGATCTGGTGCCGCAAAAGGTATGTTAGGAACCCACCTTTTTTGGAGCAATTTGCAACTGCCTTCTATTATTTTTTGTCTTCCCTTGTGTCTTCTCATGCTAGCAGTGCACACTGCACAGCACGTCCTCCTTCCATTCCCCTGTCTTTGTCCTACAGTGGTATTTCTCCTGCACAGATATACCATCTTTGCATGCTCTGAGATCCTTCCAATTTTTCCAGTGCTGTCGTCACCTTCAATGCCCCTGAATAACAAAAGAAGTAAAAAGGATGAACTCATACTTATTGATATAAACCAGGACAATTTGTTCTTTGTGGTGCGCACTCCACTGTTACGTTCTCCAATTGATTTTGAACCAGTGTTCTTAAAGCGTTGGCCTAGTTGTTGCCTAGGTGAGAAGGCGCTAAGCCAAAAGAGGGAGAGAAGGAAGGAGGGACTGTGAAGAAGAAAGAAATAGGATGAAGGGAACCAGCATGCAGGAAATTCTCTGTCAGCATTTCCCTCCTCGCTGGCTCGAGCCCAATCACCAGCCAATCTCTCGGTCTGCTCTGGAAGGGGTCGGTGATGGACCTCCATCTGGATAGAAGTAGGCCATTAGGGAGGGTGATTCAGGTGCGTGTGGGTTACGGAGCTGTGTAGGTGCTTGTGGGCAGCGGGGCCCATCACATCTTCTCTTGCTGTGCTTTGTTATGCTTCGTTCTGGGTTGTCGGTGGTGTCAGGGATTGGGAGGCAGTGTCCAGTGGATGTCATAGGGAGCTAGGGCATATGAGGGGGCAGTGGAGGGTATGGGCAGGCTTGGATATGGCTTTAGTTGATTGGTGGGCTGACTGCTTATGGCTGTGGCCCATGGGTGCTCCTATTTATCCTTCTCTTATATCTTATTTTTTTTGTGTATGGTGTTTGCTTTACTGCCTCACCTTAAGCTCCTAGCCTCCTAGGTGATAAGAAGGGGTAGGTCACTGCAGATTGCTTTACTGCCTTAAGAACAACGTTTAAACTGTATGATCAATGCGATCTAATGGCTTGATTACAAAGTTGGAGATGCTAGGCGCGTATTCCATATGCACATAGATAGCAAGTCACTTAAGCTTATGGCATCAATAGGTGGGGTTTGTGGAATCCCCTTAGAAGTTAAAATATTATTTCATTATCAAATTTTTTGGTTACGCCATTTCTTATATGTATTTGTATGCATCAGTGTTCACCTAAACGTTAAACACTCGGTCACCCACGTTTTATAGCCAAATATTGGGCAAAACAGCCGTTTAATTAGGCCGACAACATACATTCTGTATTGACTTTTGGTTTTTGTCTTTCAGATATGTCTGGTGATTGATTTGACAAATACCACCCAGTATTATTCACCAGCAGAATGGACGATTCAAGGTACTAAGCATGTCAAGGTGAGATTGCTTAGCTTAAATGCTTTCTTGTTTCTCAAGATCCTTTTTCTTGACTAACATGTTTTTGGATTAGATTCCATGCAAGGGGAGAGATGCTGTACCTGACAATGAATCTGTTAATATGTTTGTCAATGAGGTACACAGTCTATGGATACATATCTCTGCAAAAGCAGTATATTTGACTCTGGATAGTATATATGCCCATTTTGTTTTTTCCTTTTTCTTTTGTGGGGCGTGCTGATGCGTTACTCTCAAAGAATTTTGTTTTCTCTTTCGCCTCAGGGCACCATAGTTTATGTTCCAAGTTATTTTATTTATTGCACCTACCTTTTTAAATGGCCTTATTCTGGTTGCCTGGTCTGGCAGTTTGAGCGGTGCATGAAGCAGATCGTCAAGGATAAGGCGTGCTTATCGGAATCTTAGAGATATAGCTGTATTGGAGATTGTCATGTGGTGGCTTGTTGGTTAAGTAGGTTAATTGTTAGGAGATCTGTTGGTTTCGGTTTACTAGAGTTTGTGAGGTCGGTTGTAAGCTTGAATACATTGTAATGGGCCAAATCTATATTTATAGAGTTGCCAATCAAGGAGATCAAGCACAAGCATATCAATCCACTTAATCACACTTAGGCTCTGTTGTGAGCCTCTTGTCATCGGCTAACACAATCCATCTCTTGCTATTCTGTTCCCATCTCTTAATCGCACAAACCTGTTTTTTCTCATCAGGTTGTGTGTGATGTTTACACTTTCCACCTTTTCTGTGTTCTGGTAGACTGCTACATGCTCATCGTGTTGCTAATTTCAGAGGGGCCTGCATATTTTTGCATTTTCATATTGTTGGATTCTCTACAATGAATTGATTTGGACGCTGTTTATCAGTAATCTGGTCATTTCTTTTTACCTTGCTTTGGTGTAAATGGTATAGATAGTCCCAACTGTCATTAATATCTCCGGTCAGCCTTTCTTTTGCTGCGCAGAGCATAATGCTATGTTTTAAGAAAGCTTCCTGTAAACCATCTTTGTCAACAACTTTTGCTGTTCTTTCAGGCAATGATGTGCCTTGACCGACAAAAGCAATCAAATAATCCTAAATATATTCTGGTTCATTGTACCCATGGTCATAATCATTATAGGTTTCATGATTATTCATTACCTTATCTTTTTACACATCTCTTGTGTTGCTGAGGTAGGAATACTAGACCCCAGATGTATTCGATTGATTTTATTCTTCAGTATTACATAACCTTTTTTTTTTTTTCTACATAATAAATATATTTGCTCAAAAGCGGCCACCTGGCATATACAAGAGGGACTACATTGAAGCACTGTATTCATTTTACCATGAGGTCCCTGAGAATATGATGATAGCATGCCCTCCAACACCAGAATGGAAGAGACCAGATGATCTTGATTTAAATGGAGAAGCTAAGCAGGCTGATGATGATGATGACAATGCTTATCTTAAACCACCGCATGTATGTGTTTTCTTCAAAACTTATATGGAATTATCAGTTCTACTTCTCAAGTAGAAGGGATAGACTTAAATATTGCTTGTGTCCTTGATATTCCCTCATTGTATGGTTTTCTTGCTAAGCAGTGTCGATTGCATTGTTTCTTAATATCTCGACACCACAATATGTTTGCAGAATGAGTCAGAGGATAAAGTCATCAT